TAGTTCAATAAAATTTTGAATGTGAGTCAACAAACGAGATGACATGGCCTTTCACCTGTGACCTGTCTCGAACGGGTTAAGAGTTTGGATATCGAACAAATTGTGGTGGACATAAGATGAGTCTATAGTGCTGTTTATGCATGTTTGATTTTAAATCCTCAGTGAACTAATATCAATCTGTAGTCAGTCATCATTTTAGTCACTTTTGTTAAGTTTAAAGCTTCATTATTTTGCCAACATAAACATTTTAAACCACCTTTTAAAACATTTATTATTGATTATTATAATTAATATTTCTTGATAGAACTAGCAGTGGTTTTGTATTTTAGTTAAGACCATATTGTTTTTTTAAAGGATCTTGTCATTTTAATTTTTTTGTAATATAGTATCTCTATGTTTGATATGTATGATACTTATATTTGTTTATTTCACAAAAAATTAATGTATTTTTGTTGTATGTTTATTTAATGAACAGACTCGTCTCTTGGTTACACATGGGTTGTCGTTTCTTCCCAAGACTGATTTCATCATTGTGATGAAAGACGGTTTAGTTGTGGAATCTGGGACTTACAAAGATTTGCTAGAAAGAAATGGTATTTTTGCTGAAGTTCATTTGCAGTACTTGCAAGAAAAAAGCAAACAAGGTTTGGAAGAATCTGAAATAGAAGAATTGGAAGAACTTGTGGCAAAGATAGGTTTCACTGAAATAGAAAGGTACGAGTACCATTTTTATTTATGTTATTTTGATGTACAAAAAAGTTAGCATTCTGGGAAGATAGAGAATCTATAGTTTCAAATCTTTTTTTTATTGTAGCCAACTACATAGACCAGACTCAGACAAAGAAGACCTTAAACATATTTTTCAATCTTTAACAAAACAACTGTCACAGAAAGCAGCTCTATCTGGCGATGCTAGTTTATCAAAAACTGAATTATCGCTTAAAAAAGGAGAAGGAGTTACAAGCACGGTGAATGGACCAATAAAAAAACAGTTTGAATTTGAAAAAAAACTGATTCAAGCAGAAACAGCTGAAACTGGAGAGGTTGGAGAAGTTTTGTTAAAATATTTCTTCCATAAACTTAGATTTCCATATTATTTCTGTTTTAATAAGTTTTCTTCAATATAGAAATATTAAAGTGAAATATAAATGCATTTTAATTTTAGTGTGGGTTTCTAAAAAAACAAACGTTAAGCCTGAGAGCTTCAAAAATTTCATATTTTTTGAGTAATTCATATTTGAACACACACAACTTTCTTTCAAAGTCTTGTTGTTTAACATCAAAACAGTAATAAATAGGTTATTGTAATGTGTTATTTTCATTTTATTTCTTAATGTATTGCACAAAACTAACAATAATGTTCAAAATGAAAACCTATTTTTATGGACTTTCAATTCAGATCAACATTGTGTGAAATTTTTGCATTGAAGATCAAGGCTTGTACATACACAGTTTTTTTAAGTTCAATATTTAGCTCATAGAAAACTCATAGCCATCATAGTATTAATTCATATTATATATATATGAAGTAAAAAATAGCAGTTATTAATTCGCTGTTTTTGAAAGTTTGTGTCTTTACTTCTATATAAAATTTCTGTTGAATTTTATAAGCACTAACATTTTGGTTTTGATTAGCCTTTGAATCATAAAAATGTGCAATTAACAAACAAGTTAAAGTAAATTTTGATGATTTACTCTATTCTACATGGTGCAGCAAGAGAATGGTGTGCAGGCATTTTCCTGGCTCCATGCAATCTTAAACTAAGGTAATGTTTAGAATTTGTGTTGTTATGGAGAATACTAGGATTTACAAATACTTGTGTATGTGGGATCCTTACCTACGTTGAATTATTGGAAAGAGTTCAGAGAAAGGTTACTAGAATAGTGCCTGGGATGGAGGGGCTGTCCTACAAGGAGAAGCTGAAATCTCTCAAATTGTTTTCTCTTGAAAAAAAAAAGTTAGGGGGATCTGATTGAGGTGTTTAAGATTGTAAAGGGAATGGATAATGTTGATGCATCTTTTTTGATATTTAACAGTGAGAATAATAAGACTAGGGGACACAAGTATACATTTTGGTAAGGTAGGTGTCATCTTCAGCAAAGACAGTTTCATTTTTCTAACAGGGTGGTTGGCCTTCAAATGTTGTAGAGGCAGTAAA